TTCTTTATTGCACACAGAACATTGTTATATATGCATCTGTGTCCATGAGGTTGTAAATACTGACCAAAATTGATTCATGGACTAAACGATGAGGTTTCTGGGTACATCTGTGACCTCAGAAATACATTAACAGGTCAGAATTCAGAAGGTTTTTTGTTAAAATGTACGTATGATATATTCTGTGAACACTAAGCCTTTGGTCACTATTTGAGATTTTCTTTAACCTACTTGGTATCTGTGGAAAGTTACAATCCAGGAGTTAGCACACAGTTTGGTCTTTAGTTGTAGTAATACCAGCCTCTTACCTTCAAAGATTCTGTGATTGTGTCTTGGTGCCCTTTGTGAAGTGCTTTACCCTCACTGACACTTATTAACATCCCAATTAAATTGCCACTGGATTTGGCGTGAATGCGGTCATTACTGACTTTCAACAGGAGAATTTTCGGTCAAATAGTGCAGATGAAAGCCTTGTTGGCATGAATTCTAAAGAGAACAGGAAAAGAGAAATGAAGTCAGTAAAGAGAGATAACTCAAGGCGTTTTGCTGTGAAGGGAGGTACATAATGGTGGTACATAATGGAGGTACATACTCCCTTGCTCCCCACTCCTTGGTGGGGGGAGCAAGGGAGGTTTTATTTAAAATCACTTTGAAAATGCGCAAATAAGAATATTACAGCAGAGAGGGGAAATGTGTGTTGGAGAACAGAGTGGATCATTGCAGGAGTGGACAGGATCCAGACCGTAAGCTGAGGGATTGCCTGAGATAAGAGTGTAGACACTGCTTGCAGAATAATGGGAGGAAGGGTGAACGGGCCGCTTGGGAAATGCGATGGTAGCAGGATGTTGAGTTTCTCCTCAGAGGCTTCTGCTTCTCAGTGAAATAATAAGCACAGGCAACAGCAGGTAGTGAAGAAGAGGTCTGGGGGCGCCTAGGTGGCTCTGCCTTCTGCTCAGGTCGTGATCCCAGAGTCCTGGGATGGAGCCCCGCATCAGGCTGTCTGCTCAGCAGGGAGCCTGCTTCCTCCTCTCTCTCTGCCTGCTTCTCTGTGATCTCCGTCATCTGTCAAGTAAATAAATAAAATCTTTAAAAAAAAAAAAAAAGAAGAGGTCTGGATTTTAGAGGTCTGAGGAGAGAGGAGGTAGTTTGAAATTGTCATTGAAAGAATGGGAGTGAATTAACTAGAGAAATGTGGTAGGATTGCCAGGCAGCGCTGAGGGCCCTTTTGAGGGTTTTGCTCATGAATCTAAAGAGAAACATTCAGCATGATGGTAATTCGTTTGTTTGCTTCCCAGCTTATTCAGTTGCTTGTGTTTGGCAGAGCTGTAGTATTAACTGAGGTTGGAAGTCTTACTTTTCCAGTAAAACCCGTATTCAAAAGGGCAGGGGAGTTGAAAACAATGTAAGGGAGTGATTAAAAAAAAAAAAAAAAAGATTTCTTTATTTATTTGAGAGAGAGAGAAGGGGGAGAGAGAGAGGGAGAGAAAGCAGAGTGTCTTAAGCAGACTCCCCCTAAGGGTGGAGCCCGACATGGGACAGAATCCCAAGACCCTGAGATCATGATCTGAGCTGAAATCAAGAGTCAGATGCTTAACCAACTGAGCCACCCAGGTGCCCCAAGGGAGTAATTTTTAATAATGGAGAATGGAGCCTAGTCCAGCAAGGAGGGATGTGGGGGGTGTGGGGAACTGGTGGCAGCAAGAATGCATTAGGACTGGTTGGGGTCAGAATATTCTGAGAAGGAGTCAAAAAGACATCATGTTTGAAACTGATTTAAGAAAGTGTACAGCTACCAATGAAGACCAGGGCTAGGGTATGATCACAGCTTTGGGCACTGAGGTAGAGCAGAGAAAAAGACTATCGGATGTGAGGAAGTCAAGGTAGTGAGGGGCCATGTTGGGACTGGGACTGAGAAGGAAATAGCAATAGACTTTCCTTTTACTTAGCAGGCGGTATCTGCAGTTCCCTCTTGGTAACTGAATAGTCTCTGTAGTCAAACATGGAAGTTGCAGAGTCATTCCTCAGTAAGCAGGGACTTTTGGTGGGACGTTTCCAGAACAATGCTCACGTGCTCCCTCATGGGCCTTTCATGAACGGCCCCCTCAGTTCTTGTCTCACAGCCACACATCCCATATGGTTTTCTTCTCTCTTCCCCACAGAGACTCTTATGTGCAGGAACTTCTGAATGCCTCCCAGAGGTGTCTGCCTGACTCATACGTGTCCTTGGTCCGCCAGCTCTGATGCGCTAGCTCCCATGAATTTTCCTAGCTAAGCTTTTGTAGCGAGAGGGAAATGTTCTACAGCTCACCAAGCATCCACCCAGAAGATGAACTGCAGCCGTCTGCTTGCAGATTGTCCCTCCAAGGGGCTCTTGCAGCCTCCTTCACCTGTCTAATACCTTTCCTTAGGTCAGTCTTTCTCCCCACAAGAATCTCTGTTATACTCTTGTACGTCACATCTGAGGTGAGCCATAGAGGTAAGGGTTGACTGATGAGCTCTCTCTCTGAAGAATGGGTAGATACTTGTCACCCAAAGTCCCTATCCCTGGTGTCCCAGCTCAGACTGGGACTTTTCTATTAAAATTCTGCCTCTTTCCTATGGTGTCACATGCTCTTTTTCCCAATTACATGGGATCCCTCAGTTGTAGAGTCGAAGTTCAGGAATATTACATTGTCTCTTACCCCAAAATCACAGCAATGTGCAGGGTATTATGTATTATGTTATGAAGAGCTAATTAGCATGGATACAAAAGTCCTGCAAATAGTTTCCTTAAAAAGTACTTAGAGACATTTAAAGCACAATGGGATGATTGTTCTTATGCTGAGAGCCCCAGAACAACAGATGTTAGGATTGTAAGCACAGAGGAAATTAATATTTAAATTGCCTTCTTCATTTTGACATAAATTTTGATCGGTATATGTTCTCTTAGCTTGATTATGTCTAACTTAAGATGGGTGATGTTTACATTTTATGTGTGGCTTTATCTAAAATTGTATTTTATTTCTCTAGAGTCTTATTCTCAACCCAAACATATTATAAACTGTGTCACTCTCTCCAGCAGCATCTTCCAGCATTTTCCCCGCCTTCCTGTGCTCAAACCCCACTGGCCTTTCATTTCCTCCAATGCACTGGACCCCTTTTCCAGCGCATGTACTGTACCTTCAGCCAGAAATGCTCTCTACCCTTATCTCAACCCCTCACACGCATGTAACTAATGACTCCTCCTTGTCTATCCTTCCTCTTTCATGCTAAACATAGCACCTTCTCAGTGAAAGCTCCCTTAACCACCCACAGTTCTGCTCCTGTGGCAGCTTGTGTGTGCCCTGGGCTTCTTCCCATTTCATTTACCATACTTGAAAATATGAATAAATTTATCTTTTGGTTCCTTTCTAACACACTAAACTATAAGCTTTACAAGGGCAAGGTGATGGCTGTTTCCCTAATGCTGAGCATGGTGCCTTGAACCTAGTTGGCATTCAATAAATATTTGTTGCACAAATGAAGGAAAGCCCCCCAATAATTTTACAGACAGTGAAAATGAAGGGTTTCATCGGTATATGCACAGCCATTTGAGGTTATGTGACCTGGAGGAAAGTCTATTAGCCTAAAGAGGGTAAGACAGCCTTCAGAGTTGGAATACTTTGGTATTCTAACTCTAAGCATGTGTTCAGTCTTAAAAACATAGGTGTGGGGGGGGGGGTAGTAAACTTAAGCTATACCAAGAGAAATAGGTATTCATGATTTTAGCGGTTGTATTCTAAGTGTGCTGCTCATTAACAATATTTGGCATGTTGCTCACATGGGCACTGAATTAACAGAAAACTCCAATCACTCTTGAAACCACAGTTCAAGATCTGAGATCTGCAGACGATCAGTGGTCATTGTGAATCGAAACAAGAAACCTACTGTGACATGAAATCATCTTGAGAATTTTACCCCATTTATTGAGCTTTTATACTGTGATATTTTGCTGTTGTTTAAGTTAGGGTCTGTTCTCGTTTTGTTGTTTTTTTAATCATTGAGCAGTTAATTCATAAACTTCTGAAGATAAAGTACAATTTAATTTATAAAATAAAGAAAAGGTCTAAATAATTTTCAGATTAAAAATAATTCCTTCTTTCCTATTATTTAATTTGGATATATTCATAAAACATTTTTAGTGCTATGACAATTTTTTTTTAAATCCCACATCTTTTTTTTTAAAGATTTTATTTATTTATTTGACAGAGAAAGATTACGAGTAGGCAGAGAGGCAGGCAGAGAGAGAGAGAGAGAAGCAGGTTCCCCGCTGAGCAGAGAGCCGGATGCAGGGGCTCAATCCCAGGACCCTGAGATCATGACCTGAGCGGAAGACAGAGAGGCTTAACCCACTGAGCCACCCAGGCGCCCCAAAATCCCACATCTTTTTAAAGTTTAGGATTTCCAAATCAATATTTCCATGTTTTACCAGTATATATAAGAAGGTGTTTTATCATTTGACCATTCAGGTATGGGAAAACTAGATAGATAAGGCTTTGGCATTTGTGCTCATATTTTATAGTGGCTGACATCTGTCCAAAAAATGAGATTGTGGAAGGTTTTCATTACCTTTCCATTAATTCCATCACATTTTCTCTTTTGAAAAAGAATATTCTTAGGTTTATTTGGATTAAATTGTCTCAGTATGAACTGTACTTATCAAAGTTTCATAGTTCCCACTGAAAACTCTTGTTTGCCTTTCCCCCACCATTTTCTAAGTGTGTGAAAGGGTAACCCATGAAAGAAAGCACTCAAGAGACCTCGTCCTCTGCCTACCACACCGACACAATCTGGCAGGGATGGGACTGCTTCCGATGTAGGATCACTGAGGAAGTTTGTCGCATACATAGTCATTCCGCCGTTGGCGTCCAGAAACTAGAAACCAGAACGTTCTGAAGTAGAGTCATTAGAAATGAAAGTGTGTTTTGCTTCTCTGTTACCACCAAGAACTATTGAATTTTGAACCCCTGAACACTCTCTTCTAGCTGCTTTCGAAATCTATTGAACAACTGAAGCAACCAGGCAGTCACCTCGAGGAAGCGGAGGAAGAGCTTCAGGGGGACCAGGCGATGCAGGAAGACAGAGCGCCCTCTAGTGGCAACAGCACTAGGAGCGACAGCAGTGCTTGTGTGGATGACACACTGGGACAAGTTGGGGCGGTGAAGGTCAAGGAGGAACCAGTGGACAGTGATGAAGATGCTCAGATCCAGGAAATGGAATCTGGGGAGCAGGCTGCTTTTATGCAACAGGTAATAGGCAAAGATTTAGCTCCAGGATTTGTAATTAAAGTCATTATCTGAATATGAAATGCATTGCCGGTTTTGGTAAATGGATATTATTTCCTATCTGTTTATATTTCTGAACGATTTGATTTTAGTGTTTAAGGATTCTACTTAATGCAGATATATCTATATAGAGATTTCTCTATATACTGATTTCTATATAGATATCAAGGTTTCATTGAAACTCCACTGGTAAGGAAATACTTGTTACACTAAAATTATACTACATAAGTATACAAGTAATTAATAGGCTTTAAATTCATCCCAAAGCCTGCCACACCAATTAATTCTAAGGAAAACGAAATCACTGTTGTTTTTAGTTTCTCTGTTGAGATCAGTGACTGCTGGGTATAGTCACCCAGTCTGATCAATGAAACTTTCTATTAGCTCTTCTTTTTTTTTTTGATATGTAGAATTCAATTTTCACAGTGTTGTACATAATGTATCATACTACAGTCTTGAACACTGTTAAAGGTAGTCTGCCCCTTCCTTCCTCTCTCTTTTTTGTTAAGTTAAATGTTCTGGTTACCACGCCAATAGTCCTTAGGTTATTGTATAGAATGCAATTGAAAATATTAGGAATAGAGGTGGTTTTAAATATATAGATTGCAAAGTACAGCACTATTTTAAGTATTACATTATGTCTCACCTAGCACTGCTCATTTTACTTTTATCTTGTGTTATTTGATGACATTGTCTATCGAAAAAAGATCAAATGAAGCCAATGCAGATAATAGCCAGAAATAATGTGCAGCATTATGGTCCAATCAGATACTATATTGTATCTACAATTGTAGAAAACACAGTAATGGTATGATGATTATCTGATACGAAGTCACAATCATGTTTAAAAGAAGAAGGTGTATCATATTTTATAATCATATCACTAAGATCTCTTAGATAGAATTCCATAGTGACTCGGCATATACCATACCACTTTGGCAAATAAAAATTTAGGAAAGTTAGGCATAACAACGGAATCCACTTGTATATAATGCACCTTCAGAAGGACTGTGTCCTTTGATGCTATGAAATACAAACAACTTTGAAGGCAACAGAAGACTCTGTTTATTTAAGTCCGTTCTTTGTCAGGTTCCTGCTGTTCTCCTACAGAAAACTGATTCTATGAGGCTGGACAGGAAATGCCTTGTGGAAACAGGAAGTCCAAGTGATTCATGTAATGAGGAATGTAGGGGGAAAAAAAAAACGGAGGATAGTGTTTTACTCTTTCTGTTTTTAAAGGGCACTCTATGAATTGATTTATTGTCTAAGAAAATAACACCGCAAGTAGGGAAATTGTTAAGGAAGCTTTTCACTGGAACATTTCCTTCATACTCCCTTTTGATATGTTTACCTTGTTTTACAGGTTTACTTTTGTTAAGCTAGTTAAAGATTCGTTGTATTAAGACCCCTTTAATATGGATAATCCAAATTGACCTAGAATCTTTGTGAGGTTTTTTTCTATTAAAATATTTATATTTCTAAATCCAAGGTATTTTAAGGTGTAGTATCCTGTTTCAAAGGAGATAGAGCGGTTTTGCCAAATGTAGACATTGTAACAACTGTATGTTATTGGCACATGTTGTTTACATTTTGCTGTGACATTTAAAAATATTTCTTAAAAAAAGTCACTGCTAAAGATACATTATCCTTTTTTAAAAAGTCTCCATTCAAATTAAATTAACATAACTAGAAGTTAGAAAGTTTAAAACTTTTCCATATAATGAAAGTCCTTCTGATAATTTGACAAATACCTATAATAGGCAACTTTTCCTATTAGCACCATATTTTGGTTAGTATATTCCTTAAGATTAAAATGATTCTTTGTCAGTTGTTTTGCATTAAAAATATGGCATTCCTAAGATAAAATTGTATATTTTTTCCATCTCATAAATATTCATTTTCTTTAAAGTCTTTTTTCAATCTCATAAAAAAGGGATAGTGCATCTTTTAAAATACATTTTATTTGGGGAGGAACATGTGGCTGAGCAGACTTTTGTATAATATTACTTCAAAGATATGTAATCACAAACAAAAAAAAAAACCTATTTTTTATAATGTCATTTGAGAGAGCTTCATCAGTACAGTTGGTGGACATTAATTGTTTGAATTTGATAGTCTTTGAATTTAATCAAGAAACTACCTGGAACCAGTGAAAAAGAAAGCTGGACTTAATTCATCTTAGAATTAATTGATAAATGTCTCTTTTCAAATCTACTGTATTTATTATAATTTACACCCTTGAAGGTGATCTCTTGTTTTGTGTTGTAAATATATTGTTTGTATGTTTCCTTCTTGCCTTCTGTTATAAGTCTCTTCCTTTCTCAAATAAAGTTTTTTTTAAAAGATCCCCTTTCATACATTTGGCTTTGTGTAAACTTGGTATACTTAATCGGATCTGAAGCTGATGCGCTAGGTCTCATATACCAAAATCGATTGCCATTCGTTGTTGAAACAAGAAAATGAAGATATTTTGAGCAGTTATTTCTTATGCCATTAAAAATAATTAACCCAACAATGATTTTAAACTATTTATGTCAGCCATTATCAAATAGCAAACACATGTAAAATTTTTTGCCTTTTCCATTTCCCAGTGTGGCCTCTTTTTCATGATATGCTATCATGTTTGATGTCGATTTCCAAATATAAAATTTTATATAAATAAATGTTAATTCCTAACTTAGCTCAACTTAAAAAAATCATTTTTAAAAAGGTTAACATAATCCCTCCAGTGTAACAGGCACTCAATAACTATCAAAATAAATAATTTTCCATTTATTTTATCATAATAATTTTATCATAATAATTTTACTATTATAGTGACAGCCTGACCTACAAGTATAAAGTAACAGCACATAAATGTAAAAAGGAAAAAAAAAACTAATTAAATGACCTCCCCTTCTATGGAAACAATTATTATAATACTAGTGTAAAGCACAAGGGGCCTGGCTCAGATAAAGGAAACTGGGCTGTAGACATCCCTGCACCATGACATACCCAACTCTTCGTCTGGTCAGTTGCTAGCAAACGTCAGTCAGTCAGTACTTCATAATGTGTTGCTGTGTTTTTGTTCCCTTAATCTAAACCTTAATAGCATCAAACAAATTAAAATTATTCTAAACCACAACAATATTGCATTAGGTTATTGAGAATTCTGGAGCTAATATCATTGACTATTACAAAATGGATTATCATCCCGTAATGCCATAAGCCTGATAATTTGGTCAGAATTGTGGGAATACCATTAGTTATAATTTCCTAAAAATTGCCTTTGGACTTTTATAAACTTGATTCACTTGGTACCAGAGATCCTCAAAAAAGAGTTGGAGGAACCAATTAAATAATGCTTTTAAAATGTATATCCGGTTTTTGATGTGTAAAGTGGAGGTTTCAATAAAAAATATCAATCTCATGTTAAAAACTTTCTCTTCAGGAAAATATTTTTTGCCAAGACTTGCAGTAAATAAACATTAGCCTTCATGTTCTGGCAGTAAAAGTCCACCTTCTCATTGGTGAAGGTAGCTGCTGAAATGGAGACTGTTACTTTTCATAGGTCTGAAAAAGGTTGTCTTTAAGAAATTTTTACTTTATTTTGTACTTTTTTTCTCTAAAGGATATTAAAAAGGAATTCAGATACTAATCATTTTTTTTGGAACTAGTACTCAATGGATGTATAGGTAGACAACAGTATTTATTTAAATTTGGCATTTCTATGTGATAATGGAAGCACTGAATTGTGGGTATGCAATTGTGAATTAACAATGATAAATCAAGGTCTACAAATTATAACCAATTATAATCAAGAATTTGGAGATATAAGAGAAGAATTTGAGAGGTAGATTACCATTCCCTTTATTATTGATAATTCCTCCATCTGGGTTTTAAAAGCATGGGAGGGCAATCAAAGAATTCTGCCAAATAAAAGAAGATATTGGGAATATGACTTTTTAGAACTTCTCAATTAAGATTTGAAAGGTTTTCTATTCTGATTTCATAATACCTTCTTTAAGGCTTATAAACTATAAGGTTTAGACAATGCAACCTTTTGGGACCATCTTGATTTACAAAAAGACTTTCCCTTTTTTAACTATTGGAAACATACACGTCTAGCAACTCATTTAGTCCTCACAACAACATTATGGGGTAGATATTATTGTCTTCGTTGTAGGGATGAGGGCACTGGGGCACAAAGAAGTTAAATAAGGTCAAGGTCACCCAATTAGTGACTCTAACTCTAATTTGAACCTAAGCACTCTGGCACTCGAGTCCTTATTCTCTCCCTTTACTACCCCACAGCGTTTATGCAATAATTCTTTTCATCTGTCCAGGTTTATTAAATTATCAGTTCTCTCTCTCTCTCTCTCTCTCTCTCTCTCCTTCCTCCCCATCACCATTTCCAAACTGTTTTGAATCAATTTTCTCTTAATCACTGCTATAAAGTAGGAGATTAGGACTCTTTTTTTTTTGGTCTAATGCATAGATGAGCGGTATGATCATTGGACACATGATGTTCAACCGTTTGCATCATGAAAATTGGTGAGTTTCTTTTTTTTCCGACCAGAGCCAGTCTTAGGATGGGGTGAAATAGAATGCCTGCCCTTTGGGTTAACTTTCTGCGGGGAGAAAAGGAAAAAGATACCAACTAGGTCACAGCTGTCCTTTGCCACTTCCCTTCCTTCCCCAACCAAAGCCAAATACCAGTTTCTAAGCAGTTAGGACGCTGCCTTTTAAAACCTTTTTGGACCTAGTGAGGATGCACTTGATAACCATTCTGACCTAAAACAGTCTGTAGAAAATGTCGGGAAATGAAAAATAGAGATATGTCTTGAGCTCTTGTCTTCGTAGGTGATTTTTCACTTGAAAGATGCGTAAAAATCCTCTTGAGGGATGCTGTTGGCCATTCGAATTCTGCCCGCACCTACCCGAGGCTCTGATTCTGTTCTCCTGACAGAGAGCCCAGGAGTCTA